GTCCAATGGATGATGATCTGATTAGTCGACTAATCGCAAAAATAATCAGTGACTAGTCGACTATCAAAATAATCGTTTGTGGCAGCCCTGGTACGAGTTTAAATTCATCAGATTGTTGGGTCGTGGTCATTAATATACCAACCAGAACCTGAATCTGTTCAGTAAATACTGTGGGCCACTCTAGAGCCTCACCAGCTTTCATTGGGAGGCTTTGGCAGATGTTTAAAAAGTCCCCGCTGTTCACGATGTCCCTGTTTGCTGGTCAGATGTTCAGAAGTTTCCTCTGAGGATGAAGGATAACGACCTGCTGGTGACGGAGCTGTACAGAGACCCGACCGAAGACGCCATCACCGCTCTCAGCGTCTACCTCACACCCAAAACAAGTACGAAGACACTATAACACTGCTGCTAATACAACTATTGCAGGGCGTCCGTTTTCTCCACATTCCTTCACCTGGACCTCCGTCTGTTAGAGACGAGTCAGGGAAAGTCTTATTCTTCATATTCCTGCAGCCTTCTCACACTTCCCCGGTTTGCTCAGGTGACAGCGGGAACTGGATCGAGATTGCGTACGGGACCAGCTCGGGGACCGTTCGAGTCATCGTGCAGCATCCAGAGACCGTCGGCTCAGGGCCTCAGCTTTTCCAGACCTTCTCTGTCCACCGCAGCCCTGTCACCAAGATCATGCTGTCGGAGAAGCACCTCATCTCAGGTACGAGAATCACCTCGTCTTGGAAACTGGCGTTCTGTGTCGAATGGTTTAAGCTGATGTCTGCAGCTTGTTTCTGAGCTCATCTTCATCGCCATCCTTCAGTTTGTGCAGATAACAACCACGTGCGGACGTGGACGGTGACTCGCTTCAGAGGAATGATCTCAACCCAGCCAGGGTCCACGCCGCTCACCTCCTTCAAGATCCTCAGCCTGGACGACGTGGACGGGCACGGAGGCTGCAGCGCCGGCACCGAGATCGGTAACTGTCAACCCGATCACAGTCAGAGCTGCAGCATTTGAGGACTGTAGCTCTGTTTCTGTAACGAAGCGATGGAATTCAAACTTTTACTTTTTCATATTTCTTCAGATCTCATTTCATTGTCTCGTTGGTTTCAGGGCCGTACGGAGAGAGAGACGATCAGCAGGTGTTCATCCAGAGAGTCGTTCCCGACACGGATAAACTCTACGTCCGATTGTCCTCCAATGGGAAGAGGTGGGAGAGCCGTAGACACTTGTAACCCACCTGGTTATAACTGTGTGGTCAGTTTGGTTTATTAGGATCCCCGTTCGCTCCTGCAGTAACAGCAGCTGCTGTTCCTGTTCCAAACATGCATGAAACACAAACAACACAATTAAAAACAACAACACTGCGTTAGATTGGTTCAACAAGGAGGTAACAAATCACGCCGCCTGTCTGTTGACTGGCGTGTAGAGTATTGACGTCCATGTTGGAAAGTAAACATAATACGAACAGAACAACAACCTGTGATCATGTGACACTGAACGTTGTGTGTGTGTGTGTGTGTCTGTCAGGGTATGTGAGGTGCGTTCGGTGGATGGGACCTCCATCACGGCCTTCATGGTCCACGAGTGCGAGGGCTCGAGCCGCATCGGCTCTCGGCCGCGTCGCTACCTGTTCAGCGGCCACAGCAACGGCAGCATCCAGATGTGGGACCTGACCACCGCCATGGAGATCGCCGGCAAGGTCGACATCAGAGGTAAAACTCCAGACTCGTGATGTAAAAGAACAACTTTTTGTGCTCTGCGATTAGTTAGCAGCTGATCAACACGGGTTCTCATTGGCTGTTTGGCAGCACTGGGCGGACCCACGGAGGAGGAGCTGCTGGAGCTGCTGGACCAGTGCGACCTGGCTCTGACCAGAACACCTGACAGCACACCCAGAGCCTCGACCTGCAGGTAGAGTTCCCTCCCGCTGAGCCTCAGTCACACAGAGTGATGCAGAGTTGGTGTTTCTATTTTGACAGATTAGTCTAATCTCGCGTCTTTGATGGCTGCCATTGGCCGTTTACAGTCGTAAACATCACGCTCTTACTGTTGTTGCTGACTTGTGTCACTTCCTGTTCCTGCAGCCTTCACTCTCAGCTCAGCGATGCCTTCAGGACAGAGCACTTTCGCTCTACGGGGGGAGGACGAGGTGCAGCCGGCGGTTCGGGTTCGTCTGCGTCGCTGTACGGCAGCCTCCCCCGCCAAGCTCCGCCCCCCGTTCTCTTCGCTAAACCTGCCCGAGAAGCTGGCTTTTCACCTGGACTGCAACAAGGCCCCTCCTACCCCGCCTCCAGCCAGACCAGCAGCCCCCGTCCCCTCAGGCATCTGGACCGGGACAAAGACTGTGTGTCTGTGCGCAGGGGGAGCTTTGTTGAGCGCTGCCAGGAGCTCGCCAAGGGTTCAGAGGCGGCTGTGAGCGCAGGGTTCCCGCCGGGGACAGAGGGCATCAGGCGGAGCCTGGCGGTGTGCAGTGAGTTGGAGGCCAAATTCGGCCTTAGGACCCCTCCCACCTTCACTGTACCCCCCGCTGCTCGACATTCACCTGGACCGCCATCATCGCTGTCCTCGTCACCGCTCTCCTCGTCGTCATTACACCGCAGGACCTCACCCGCTTCCCCGCCAAGCCCTGCCTCCGCAGCGGTGAGCCCGACCCGTTCTCAGGCATCGGTCTCCCCTCGCCGCAACACTGCGGCGTCACCCGTTGATTCCTCGGGGACCCCCGAGAGTCCCCCAGGTCCCGACAGCCCCACCCCTTCTGGCCCCCCCACCAGCCCCAAACCACATATGAATGAGACCAGCTTCTGATTGGCTGATCTGCCTGAGAGCTTCGGGTGGACACACGATGGCTGAAAAAACTGAAAACATGACTAAAAGCTGTCGTCAGGTGAGACGTGAAGAAGAAAATGATGCGATCAGCTCCTCCGGTGGTTTTTGATAACGGCTGCAGATCCACCTTCAGCCTTTATTTCAGGTAAAAACAAGAAAAAGGCCCCATGGCGAGGAGAAGTAACCTCTTTGGCACAAAAGCATCTTTTAATTAGAACTAGATGGTTGTGATAGGATGAAGACCAGGTCAGAGCTGCTGTAGGAAGCCCACATCGGCCATGCTGATGCGTCGCTGTTATCAGAGTGACCTGTCGCACTGTAACGTCACAGTTCAGCTTCTGGCAGCTGAGGAGACGGACGCTTCCTTCGGGAGGCGGTGGAGACCAAAACCTGAGCTAAAAGAGTAAAATCCCAAACTGAGACTCCTCAGGTGATCGAGCACAAAGACCTGCTGTTTGTAGCTTTTCTAACCAGCGCTCTTTCTAACTTTTCTAACAGACTTCACAGTTTTGTCTTTATTTCATTTGTATGTTTACTTACTGACCCTGAACGTCTCACAGCTGCTTTGAGGAAACCTGATAATTCCCCAAAATCTCCAGGAACTTCCCTGGAACAAAAACTAATTTCCATTATTTTTAAAATATTATATTAAGTTAAATATATTTGAATTGCGGCGTGTCTGAACATGTGTGGTAGTTATTTTTTTTTCTCAGTTGCAGATGAAATAAAATAATTAAAGGGTCAAAAACTGAAACAATTTGAAGGGAACTGAATCTGTCTGCATCAGGACTCATTTCCCTGTTTGGGGGTCTTCAGGTCTCTGAAACAGCCTTTGAAGGTTTTATGAACTCTACATGTTTACTCTGGACGTTTTCAAACTCATCATGTCACCAAAATATCAAAAATCCAATTTAAATTTAAATTCTGAGCTCATTTGAAGCGCTTTCACTGGGAGTGCAGAGGGTGTAACGGTTTGTTTTCTGTAGTACACTTTATTGCCAGCAGGGGGAGACTCCAGTATAGGAATGTTAGGGGTGCAGCTCACCTGTTATTTCTTCACGGTGCGTTCAGGGCTGTCAGGCAATTATTTTTCACGACTTTCTACTGTTTCTCAGATTTTGTAAGTTACCTATGAATCCTGATGATGCATTAATAATCCTAATCGATAATAAACAATAATATATCACTCAAAGCACGGAGTCCTTTTTCTGCTGCATTGGTGCTTTTAAGGGGAAAATGTATTTCCAAGAAGCCTCAGACTAAACCGGCGATTACAGGAAAACTGCGTCTTCCTCCTTTACTGTGATGAAGCACAGCCACCTGCTACCCACAGTCTTCCTCGGGTAAGCTGACCTCAGACACAGGTTAGTTTCTGATGTTCGCTCAGCTTTGAACACACTTTTAGCTTCAGCCTGTCGCTCTGTTTGCTTTGAGTTGCTTCGTGGTTCAGGCTACATACACTGCATTTTTTTATGAGTACTTGACGTTTGTGGTATTTACGCTGCTATGACTGAATTTCCCTGTGGGAATAATAAAGTCTGAGTTACAAGATGAAGATTTCTCCCATCAAAGGAGTGTCCCAAAAGTTTACAGTGACAAATTGACAAACTCCACGAGGTCTTCGCTCTCGTTTTACTTTTTAACTATGTTTATCTTAACTGTTATTTTATTATGTCTATATTTTATTATTTAATAATAATATATCATTATATTATGTATATTGTTTGAAATGGTGAAAAACTAGAGAGAGAGAGAGTTCCACAGAGGATGACAAATTTCTAGTTTCCTACGACCTGTGAATGCAGCATCTTCAGCCATTAGGAATCTAATGTTTTTAATGGTTTCCAACTCTGTGCTTACAGCTCAGCTCATGTTGTAAAGACTCATGTCTTAGAGACATGACATGAGATATTTTAGAAGATAAAAGACGATTTTATTCCAAAAGCTTTAATTTATTATTATAACAAACATTTCTGACACAGTAAACATCCACAGCCATTTAAACGACGACTCAGCGTCGCAGTTTGATCGCGTCATTGTGGAAAAATAAATATCCCACCAAAATATTTTAGTTTATAAAAATAAATTTAAATCTCACTCTAGAATGCCCACCTTTACCTACAGGAGGCGGAGCTTAAAGAAGTGTTTGCTGATTGGTTAAAGGGGCTCTGTTCTGCTTTCCTGTTCATAATAAACATGAGCCAAGTTTCTAATAACGACTTCAGTGAGACAAACACTTTTTTCTGATGTTGGTCTGTGTGATGTCACAGAGGAAATCCCTACTGTAGTCATCTCAGACATAAAGGCCCCGCCCACTCGCCGTTCAAACATTTAAGTAGGACGGTAGCCCTTAAATGGGGAGTAGCTTGTTTGAGACCGAGGCCCAGTATCAGACAAAGAAGGGTTATTCTGAACTGTGACTCATGCAAAGCTGCCCTAGCAGAACCCAAGCTGCAAATGAGTAGAACGGTTCCACTTGAATGTTTTCTGATGAAAAGCTGTAACGCTGGATCTTTGAGCAGAAATGAGCTTTACTGAACGGTCCCATAAACAAAAAATACGGAAGCTCATTTCTGCCAACAAACAAACATCTCAACACATCATGATACAAAAATATAACTTCTCTGAAAGCTAAAAGTCAAGTGCATTGGGTCATTTTACAGTCTCCCCGATAAATGGCCGACAGGAAGGTCAGGCCTTGGCGTCGAGCATCTCCAGCAGCAGTTTGTGGATGGGGACGTGGCGGTGGCGGTGCAGCCGCAGGAAAGCCTGCACGGCTCGGTCGGCGGTCTGTCGTAGCAGGGGGAGGGTCATGAGCAGCCGTCCTGCTCGGTGCTGCTCCCGGCGGGACGACTCGTAGTCCTGCAGCGCCTCGTGGAGCCCGTCCTGAAACCTCTGCAGCGAGTCCGGGCAGTCCACCGGGTCGGCGTCTGACAGACGGACAGACGCAGGTTAGAATGCTTCCTCGCTCATTACACCCAGCATGCTCAGCTGTATCAGGACAAACAACCAAACCACTGCTACAAACACAAACTGCAGTTCCTCTCATGGCCACTGGAGGCTCTGGTCTAAATATGGTCACTACTGGCTCCAAAAGTCTTTCACCTACATCATGTGTTGTTTGGAGGAAGTTATCGGATGTTTTCCTCTTTGTAATCAGACCAAAGTGTGATTAGAAGAACCCGAATGATGCCGTTTGTTGTTTACCTCCACCTGTGAGGTCATGTGATTGGTTCGTTTTGTGTTAGCAGGAAAACTGAACTAGTTATGGATGAGTTAGCATGAAACTGGACACCTGATGGTGGAGGACGCGTGCAGTCTCAGACTGCTTTAGTTTTTAAAGACTGGGTCCTGTTCACGTCTCTAAATCACAGACCGGAACGTTTGGGTGCTGCTTATTAATCAGCTCAATATGTTTCCCCTGATCGACTGATCAGAAGCTGTGAGTGTGTCTGCACGTCTGAGTATCTGCAGGTTTAGAACACACACGGCTGTGCAGCCACAGGCCTGTCTGCCAGTCTGTTTATTGATCTGAGGCTGAGACAGTGAGAGTCTGAGCAGACTTCAGTGTTATTGATCGGCTGCTCCTCGCCTGCAGCCTCCAGTGCCGCCGCTAAACGCTCTGCTGACCACTGAACTGCGACAGAGTGAGAGCCGCAAAAATAATTCAAGTCTGGGATTAATCAATACTGCTCTTTCAGCTCCCAGAGTCTGATCAATATCAATAACCACTCCTCTAAGATCAATGAGTGGAGTGGTTATTGTGGTAAAATCAATATCTGAGTTCATGCTGGAGCTCCTCAGCTGTCCCGCTCACAGATACACAGCAGCCATATTGATCAGGTGCGTGTGTGTGTGTGTGTGTGTGTGTGTGTGTGTAAAGCTGTAAAACATGAGAGTGCTGGAATTGCTGCATCATTTATACCACAGTACTGTCCTGTGGGATGCAGACGAGTTGTTTAACTTCATCATCATTCATCTCAGGCTCTTATTTTGAAACTCAGACAGCCAGGAAGTGTTAATATCTGAGTTTATGTGCAGCCATAACGCTTTGAGTCAAACAGAAACCATGAAGAATGTGTCACAGAGCATAAGCAGGTTACTCCATCAGGACGAGATTAAAACGAGATTATTTGTTTCTTCTATCAAACTTCAGGGAAACATCGCCCCCTACAGGCCTGTTTTGCCCTGACGCACAGTACTGTCCTACTGTGGTTACAGGCAGTGGTGCTGTTGGCTTGTTCTTACCAGAGTTGGCAAGCGCCATGGCCTTCAGGGTCACGACCTCCTCAGGGCTCAGCTTCATCGCTCTGTATTTCACTATCAGGTGACGCAGCGCCTCGTACAGGTCAGCCAATCCCATGGCTCGACACTGAGCTTCGTCCAGACACAGATTCCCGGCAAACACGAGCTCGTCCCCCCCTGCGCCCTGGGAGCGCCAGGCCACACCCACCAGCAGCGCCTCCATCCAGCCGCTCTGCAGAAGCGACATCTGATCGACCAATGAGAGTCCGGAGAAGCCTGGGAGTGGGCGGGGCAGATTAATAAATGACAAATAATAATA